CATGGAGGTACTCAGAAAAATGAATAAATCTCAAAGAGGTGGCTTGGAATTCAGGCTTAAAAATTATTGTCTACAGAAAGTAAGAAAGAAGGGCACGGGGAAGGCTGGTTATGGGAAGAAAAAGTACAGTAAACAAAGAGTCATGTTTGTGTTTGCAGATGTGAGTCAGTGCCTTCTCCATTGATAAGAGTCTTTAGCGATTTGAGTCCTGCTACAGAGAGGGAGACACTCTTACAGACGGAGATTTTCCCTTTTATAGATTAAATTTCCCTTACAAAAAGGTAGCTGCCACTTTGTTTTCTGAGCATCTTTTGTGTCTGTAGCTTCTCAAAATAATAAGCTCAAAATAAGTCTTAAGCCAAAGAGGCATACTTTGGAGTGGCATTTTCTGGTCTCCTGCACCTCTTCCTTCTAGACAACACTCCAGTTCCTAGAACATTGGGAAGCCCCATCCAAATGGCCCTGTATTAGTCTGAGTTCTCCAGAGAAACAGAACCAGTAGGTCACACACTCACATATTTAAATGTATATATATTATATAAGGAGCATTTCTTATAAGCACTTTATTATAAGGAAGTGGCTCATGTAGTTATAGAGGTTGAGATGTCCTAAGATCTGCAGTTGGCAAACTGGAGACCCAGGAGATCCAATGGTATAGTTCCAGTTTGAGTCTAAAGGTCTGAGATCCAGGAGAGCCAATGGTGTACATTCCAGTCCAAGTCCAAGTCTGAATTCATAAGTGGGAGAAGACCAATTTCTCAGCTAGAAGGCAGTCAGACAGAAGAGAGAGAATTCTCCCTTACTTGGCCATTTGTTCTGTTCAGGCCTTCAATGGATTGAATGCAGCCCACTCACATTGGGGAGGGCAATCTACTTAGTTTACGGATTCAAAAGTTTATCTTATACAGAAACACCCTGATAGACCTACCCAGAATAATGTTTAACCAAATATCTGGGCAGCCTGTGGCCAACCAAATTGATACATTAAAATTAACCATCACAAGCTCCAAGGCACTTCCAGGGTCTGTGCTGGCTTTCCTCCTGGGTTCCTCTTCCTCACGAGGGCCACACAATTGGATGAATACTTCCAGGCCCAAAGTTTGGCCCAGCAGGGATATTTGTGGGGATGGGGAGAAGAGCGTTCATGTAAGGGTCTAGAGAGTGAATATAGGTGTTCACAACTGGTCCAGGGTGGGCCAGGTATGAGAAAAAGGGACAGGCTAGAGGCCAACTGTTGCCACACTGCCTGTTTCAGAGCAGAACTCCAAGCAGTCCGATAATTCTAAATTTGAACTTAAGTTTCCAGGTTGTTATGAAAGTATAATTATCATTGTAGGAGGAGGGAATGTATTTAACAGCTTGTTTGCTTGATTTATAACTTTTGAATATTTAGACATATGGTATGTGGGTGTCCATTTGTACACTTGCCCAGGCCCTCTAAGGGTCCTGTCTGAGTGGATGGGGTCCTGATATTGTAAAATTATGCATTAGAGGGTATTGGGGGTTGTTCAGAGGGGCTTGTTCAGGTAGGGTTGATATTTCATTTGGGCCTTGAATGCAGCAGGATTTTGAAGTTCAGTGAGGGTAGGACTGGTGTGGTAGACTCTAATTACAAGGTGCACCTTGAAAACCAGATAGAAGTGACATCCAGTTAAATATGGCAGACTGAAAACGTGAATTTACTTCTACACCCACCCCAAATCCCATCAAAAAGACAATAAAGGAATTAAAGGGAGCAAAAACTCTTAAGGACAAATAGAAAATGAGTGGAATAACAACAGGATGTTTTGGGAACTGGACAGTGGATGAATGAGTGTCTTAGTCTGTTCAGCTGCCGTAACAACATACCTTAGACTGAGTAATTGATAAACAATACACAATTATTGTTCATAGTTCTGGAGGCTGGGAAGTCCGAGATAAAGGCACCAGCAGATTCAGGGGCTGAGAAGGGCCTGTTCCACAGAGATGGCACACTCTATGTGTCCTAACAAGGTGAAATGGGCAAGCAGGCTTGCTCAGATCTCTTTCATGAGGGCACTCATCTCTTTCAAGAGGGCACTAATTCTATTCAGGAGAGTGGAGCCTTTGTGACTGAATCACCTTCTAAAGGCCCCAACTTTTAGTACTATCACATTGGATATTAAGTTCCAACATATGAATTTGGGGGAACACATACATTGAGATGGTAGCAATGACAGTAAATGATTAACTGACAAGAGAAAGTCAGTAGGATCCCTAGTGTGGGGACCAGTGGGGGTGAAAGCAGGAGGACTGTGGAATTTGGAATACGAAGTCTGTGGGGGAAATAGACCTCAAGATTCCCTGCTTCCCTTTGAGGAACGGGCACCTGACTCGTGCTATCCTGCAGAAGACTGGAGGTCTGCTTTCCAGAAAGACTGAGGAGACAGACCTTGGTCTCGGGGAGCAGGCAAGAGAGGAGAGGCACACTGAAATGCAGGATTAGGTGCAGGTTTTCCCAAAATGAGATGTCAGCCCCTTTTCTGCTCTGTCTTCAAATGTGTGACTCTCCTAGGCAGGAGTGTGGAGGTCACCCCATGAAGAGAATTATCCACTCAAGAGAAAGACCCCCACCAAGTTGTCAGCTGCTTCAAGTTCCCTTTGGGAAATGGTCTTAAATCACTGCCATGAACAGTAACCTTTTAGTGTATTCCTCTTGACTATAAACCACAGTCAAAGCCCATTCGACATTTGAAGAGAATGAAAGATAGAGACCAAACACGGCCTCATAATTGTTAAAATGAAATTATTCAATACAATAGAGGATCAATTGATGAGTCAGACTCCTGAACCTTTCCTCTGGACAAATGTCCTTGGAAGGCACACTCTGTGTGTCCTAATGTGATGAAATGGGCAAGCTGGTAAAGACAGATTTTGATTCTTAAGGTATGAGTACACTCTGTGAAGCTGGGTTAGAGTCCCAGACTTCTTTTGAAGGGTACCTCCTTAGCTGGAAGGTCTTTTTCCTGGCTCCTTGTTTGGAATTGGAATTATTCCCTGACTCCCTAGTCTGGAACTCTTTCTTCCTGACTCTCTGTGAGGTTCCCCCATTCTGTTTATTCTTTCTGTTCTCTCTATTGGATCCTGCTTCTCCCGTCAGAATGATTCTGTCACCAGAAGCCCCTTTCTTTGAATCCCTGCTGACTAGACATTCTGCCGACTCTGGCTACCTTGGCCAGATCCTTTCCCTTCCCACTCCTGCCCCTGAGTCAATTGAATTTTAGCCTCTCTACCCTCCAGGGGCTCATAAGGGACACAGGGCCCCTCAAAAGCAAGCACCTGAGGCTGAAAAGAGAAAAAGAAAGGACTATGTGGAAATTGGGCAAATGAAAAAATGTTAAAATCTTCTCCACAAATATTGGTAAAAAGCTTTAGCCCTTGCTGAGTAGGTAAATTCAACTTGTCTTATTTTCATCAGAAACACAATCTGGATAAAAATATAAAGTGAATATAAACTAGTGAGTTTGTGTTACTCTGTTTCACTACCTCATGACTAAAATTTTTTAAAAATGAAAAGCCATAAGATCTAGTTGCATCTCTTTGTTTCTGGATGTGTACATGTATGATCCATGTTTGTATGTTATGTAAACGTAATCTTTTTTTACCTCCAATGGCATTACCCAACCAATATGCTAAAATTGGCTTAGGGATAAATGAATGCTCAAACAAATTAAGTTTTCATAGGATTCTCAGAAAATTAGAAACTGACTCCGTTTTTGTGTTTTTTTTTTTTTTTTTAAGTTCATGTGCTCTGGGAATAATCCTTGTTAAACAAAAGCTAGTTTAAAAATTACTGATCAAATAAAGATAGGACTGTCTTCAGAATTGTCAGCAATGAATATAATACAGACATATATTTTTGCCTGGGTTGTCTGGTCAGAGAGGTCTGTGTTGTCTCTGTTAGATGTTTAAGGACATAAAACTATAAATCCAACCTTAGAGTAGAATGCACAGTAAAAACGAATTGCTTAATTGGTTAATGCATATCAGTAATGGAAGTAAAAAAAATAGTTATAAAAGCATTGTGAAAATTTTATCTTCTGTGGTCAAAGTTAACTAAAATTGAATAGATTCATTTCTAAGGTTTATTAAAATAAGTTTTAGCACTACATTGATGCAAAAGTAGATTTTGGTCTTGTCTGTTAAAATGACAGGATTTTCTCAGAGTACTGGTTTGATAATATGAAGGGTTTTTCCTTATCTTTTAAGTAAACAAGTATTTTGTGTTTTATCAAGATACTTTCTTGTGTTTCATTATTGTCTTTTATTAAGTATTTGATTACTTAAGATAAATGCATTTTCTCAATATTAAAATAGTTTTTATTGATAACTCTGTAACCTTCTGTATTTACCTCTTGAAGTCTTTTAATTATTACTGTGTTTAAATGAGTGACTGTTACTTCAAAGTGACTTGTGATCCTATTTTGATGAAGCATTTTGAACTTTTTGACATTGAAAAAAATTTCCCATTATCAAATTATAAATTAAGTCTGTTTTGCCTTGAATTAACATTGGGATTTTTAAAATTGGGCTCCTGGAAAAGCTCAAAAGATGTGTGTCTGGCTTTGTAAAAGAGACAGGCTAAACTGACTAGATTTATTTGATGTTAAGTTATATGGGAAGCATTGTCAGATAAGTGATTTGAAACTTTCTTTAAGTAATATTTATGATTTTTTTTAAGAGACATAGTTTTGCTCTGTTGTCACCTGGGCTGGAGTGCAGTGATGTGATCATTGCTCACTGTAACCTCAAATGCCTGGGCTCAAGGGATCCTCCCTCATCAGCCTTCTGAGTAGCTAGGACTGCAGGTGTGCACCATGACTGGCTTTTTTTTTTAAAAAAAATTTTTGTAGAGACAGGGTCTCACTATGTTGCCCAGGCCGGTCTTGAGCTTTTAGCCTCAAGTGATCCTCCTGCCTCAGCCTCCAAAAGGGCTGGGATTATAGGCATGAGCCACTGTGTCTGGCCTATGGGTATGTTATTGATATGAATGTTTTAAAAATTGTGTGAGATGTCTAGAAATCTAATATTCTATCAGTCATAATTTTGGCTATGTTAAATTGTTGTATTCCACAGAAATAACTAAATTTCTTTGTGAGTTGTGT